CTGATGCTATAAGTATATCAGTTCGATTAGGGTCAAATATTTTTTGGACTTTCACGTCAATATACTCTTTCGTTTGCGTAAAGTTTTTCTCTGTGACTAGAGTATCAAATGTAAGACGTTCGTCAGAAAAAAAACAAGGATTGCATTCGAGATAATTTCAGAGACAAAGCCAATTTTTAAGAACTCTTCAGTACACTACTTGTTGCCATATTGAACAGTTTCTCCATTTATCTAATTTCATTTTTCAGATTGTTGAAGTTTCGAAACCCAAGAAATCAAAAATGGTAGGACGATGTAGAACTACTTTTGTTGTGAATCACCGAACGTGAGTCAAAAATTTTAGGAGAAATTTTTTTCAAAATACATATGAAATATTAGGTAATGATATTAACCTGAAAAATGGTGTAACATTCACAGTAGGGCTGAAAAACTTAGGCCATATAATTACTTATCTTATATTGCTGTAGAATATTCACTAATAAATAAGAGAAAAAAGCGTAAAAACGAATAAAATATATATTTTGCAGGCACGCTAGGTTATAACTTTCAGCAAATATTACTTTACTTTTATATATTCACGTTGTCCATGTGACTTAGCCAACGCAAAATATTTCAGCGTATTTTAATATATATCTACTTTTCAGTTTTATTAGCTGTTGGAAATCATCAACTTCGAAGGTGACACATAAAATCGCACACTTTCATTATTTTATTCATAACTTATTTAAATCAAATTACGAAAACGTATAATTTTTTGAATGATTACCCAGAATTTTTATGAAAACATGTATAACTGATACTGATGATGAAACTGAGCTATAAATGGTGGAAACAGTCTCTCAAAACAAATCAGTTTTTTGGATTATTCACCCAAAATTTTCATAAAATTATATTTATTTGTTATTGACGATGAAATTGCATTTAAAATGCATTTAAAAATGTCAACCGCCAATCCCCTTGAAGTATTCAATTTTCAAGTGATTGCTGATAAACCTCTTACCAGCATTCACTCTTGGAAACAATTGAAATAACCATTCGAAAAACAAACTGCTGAATTGAACACTGTGTTTAAACTCATGTCATGTGTCACGAAAGAAATTGATTTAACTTTCATTCAGTTTGTCTTTTGGTTTTCGTAATTTTTGCCAGACTACTTACACATAAATCAGTTCAACTCCTAGTAGTAATGGCAATACAAATCAACCTAATAGTAATTTACTCAATTCCAGATATATGTACTAACATAATTTGTTCCAGTTCTGATTTGCAATTCATCATTTGACTAGTTTATCAAAAAATAAATGTTAAATTTGTAACGCACACCTTTGCAGTGTCGTACTGAGACATAAGGCTTTCAATCCTCAATTGATAAACATTATTTTGTATGAAGTATTATATTCGATTCACATTCGTTATTGTCACTCATTTTTTTACTGCAATAATCTTTGAATTTTTTGATTTCTTTGATCATTTTGATTATACTCATCTTTCAGTTTTGATAGGCTACTTGATCTCAATACTACTATACTATTCACAGTCGATCTTAGTAGAAGTCAATTATTAAATTGAAAAAAAACTATTTGTGATAACTATGATAGGGACTATTAAAAAAATCATTACGATTGGATATTTATTTTTCAATTTCACTTTTCAATACTATATATTAGAGATGATTAGAAACATTTTCTCTCTGAAGAAAAACAATGCTAGTTTCATTTCTTATTGATTATGCAATGAATGATGATACTGGATTACTATTGAATCATTTTCTGATGCAGACTTGTTTTTTTTATGCAATCACATAATAGTTTTGCATAAAGTATAACACTTCAGAATAGTGGCGAGCTACATGATTTGAAGAATCAAAGGCAAAACTTGTTATCAGAGAATATAAAATGTTGTATGAATAATAGGATTCAGTTAGATTGGGATCTATTCAGAAAAAATTGAGAGTAGGATTTCCATTGCACAATATTTTTATTGAAACATCAGAAAAATCACTTGGAAACTTTCAGTCGTAAAAAACTTCAACTATCTCTTCAATATTGTCAAGTCTGTGATCGATTTATTTATCGAATATTCCAATAAGGCATACAGTATATCTCAAAAGTAATGTTTTCATTTCAGAATTGTTTTCAACTCAACTTGAATCGTATAACTTAAACTGAGATATTGATTCTGAGTTGAACTGTTGATGTATAAGAATGCATGTAGATTACATGAAATACTTCTTTGATTGACGACTTGTTTATTTTGTGGAAATTCATGTCACTGAGGATACACTATAAAAACACACTTTTGTCTAGTAGGCTTCGTTGGTTCAACGAGACAAATAACTCATTACTTGAAATTTCTCAATAGTCCACACGATAAAATTAAATTCACCGTAGTGATAGAAAAGAACAATGAGATACATTTTTAGATCTGACAATATCCAAAAACAATGATGAATTTGACTTCAACATTTTCCGGATTTCCGGAAAAACACGTTCACAGATTGCACAATACCATTAGACTCTTTCAACTCGATTTCATAGAAATTGTGTGCACTCAGATCAATGATCTGTTTAAATCTAGTCAAAACCTCCGAAGTGAAATCGCAATCATTAAACACATCGCAGTTAATAACAAAACACCAATTAGCGACATTATAATGAAAGATCAACAAAAATCAGTAACGAAAGAACTATATTCAATTTCCACAAGACCAGAACACACATATGTTAGATATGCAGATAGAATATTGAAACGAATCTGAAGCCGACCCTGACCGATATCTCAGCCAGCAAACACATGACGCACCGCGAGTCGCTGCGAAAAGTATAGATGAGTGCCGAAACGACTAGAGATATCTGGAGTGATCGTTGCCGATATAAAAACCGGCTTTCCGTCCCGAGATAGCAATCTGTATTCAGAAAGCGAATCACGCGTTTAAATAAAGAATTCGAACAGTGAAGATAAATTAAGTGTTAGTTGCTAAGTGTTGAATATAAATTAGTTGTAATAGTGAAATATTGTTAAAAATAAATTTGTTTAAGATTGTCAATTCTTTGATTCGTTACAATATTAAAAATTATCTTTCAAAATTCCATCTACAAACATCCTACACATCCAACGGAAATTTAAGAAACAGATTATCTAATGCCAAACCTAAATTAGACGAAGGGAAAAGATCTGGTATATATCGACTAGAATGTGGTGAATGCTCTGCCATNGAACATCCAATATAACAAAGATAGTTTAAAGGCAGAACTTATATATTGGTCAAACTGGCAGAACATTCAGGAATCGAATCCAGGAACATCGTATGAGCTATGTAAATGAAAAAACAAGTTCAACATATTCAAATCATCTTCTACAAGAGAATCATATATTTAACGAAGAGTTCGAAATAATTTTACACATAGAAAATAAAGGTTTGAAACTGAATCATTTGGAAGCAATGGAAATTAATGAACTTGAAAATTCAAACATTCTAATGAATGACCAACTGGATTTGAATAGGTCACCATTATTGAACTTGTTTCCATAAAAATCAGAGGAAGTATTATTATGCTTCAGGTTATCATAATTGAAGAGGTAACTCAGGTATATAAAAATTGTAGAGGTCCCAATTGTAGTTACCTATGGTATATGAATATTAGCGTAAGAAGCAACTTGTAATATTCAAATCACTGTTGGAGAAGCTACTGTGTTAGCGAAACATGTCGTGATATATTTCTCAAATAAAGTTTGTGGATATCAAATCGTAAGGGGTAGTTTATGAAATTACTATGGATCTTCATCAAGTAACGACCGAATCAATCAGAAAAATATAAATATATAGATTCTCATACGCCAGCAAATGAAATATTATAATTTGAGGCTGTAAGAATATCTGTGTTACTGGGCTTAGAATCCTAGATGACCTAGTGAAGAATTTCGAAAGAAATACTTTGGGCCCAAAAGCTGTTTTGTGAAAAATGGACTAATTTGAAGTGAACTGTCAGTTCATTGATTGAGAATATATTTTGAAGTAGGAAATTCACAAGGCTCACTTGTGATTGAAAATAATTGAGAGATGACTCATCTGTGATTGGCCTAGAAGTGAGTTATGAATCTGGTTAATGGTGAATGGTTTAAAGGTTTGAGTTAGAGATCATATTGGCTACCTACTCAACAGAACAGATTGATGATTTCTTCAATAGTCATAGGAAAATTGTATTGTTATGTCATAGATTAGATATTATTGAAGAAATATAAATTTCTATGTTCTTTTGCCTCTTTTATTTGGAGCTAACGTTATTGCAGTTTAGTCCTATAAGGACATTTTCAAATTAATAGTTCATTGTATTAGTTTCAAAATGTCCTTATAGAACGAAACTGCAGTAACGTTAGTTACATGGGTCGTTGAACTATTGGACTATTTGAATCGAACTATTTGTGTGCACCCTGCGCCTTCACCAATTTCTTGACAAGGGACAACCTAGACGCAATTAAAATCGATTTTTTTAATCGTGCCAAAACTGAATTGCAGTGTGAAATCGAGCATTCTTTATGTTTCTGACTTCAAAATTTTGTTTGTGATGACCTAATGGAATTGATGAACCAATAAGCAGATTTCAATATTTCAGAAATAAACAAAAACAGCTCAAAATTGATACATGGATAGTTGCATTTTGGAAAGTATACGTTCCAAAAAAGTCTACACAAGAGTGATTAGAGACGTTTTTCCTATTGATAAGTTAAATAATCAAAATCAAAATTATAGAGCTTTAACGTATTTTGGACAAACAACAGAAAAAGTGGCTCAATTATTTAATAAACAAGATATAAATTAAAGTGTAGAACTTGTCCTAGGGTATATATTGGTCAAACTGGCAGAGCATTTAGAAATCGTATCCAGGAACACCATNTATAAGGACATTTTCAAATTAATAGTTCATTGTATTAGTTTCAAAATGTCCTTATAGAACGAAACTGCAGTAACGTTAGTTACTGTTTTATTTCTCATTTCACACATTATTTTCATAAACTGTTAATTCGTTTTGATTTTTTATTATTTTGACTTAGGTATCTCCTTTTCCTCTAGGATAAAACCTGTCTACTTTCTTGTGTATTCAATATGTGAAGATAATTATTCAAGAGTTCTCCTTCTTCATGATATTTATGAATAATGTAATGAACAGAGCAAGATGCTGGCTAATTTCGTGAGATTCATTAATTGCATAAAGAGCGAAAAAAAGAGTTCACACTGATCGAGTGAATGAAACAAATCCAAACTCAATTTGAAGTAGGTACTAAAAAGGTTTTGAAGAAACACGATATTGTTACCTTGAGACGAACCTTCCTATGAGAATAATATATGATTATTCTTATAGGAATTCCAGATAATTATATTATTATTCATCAGAACTGGAACCTACATTACTAATATACAACAATGAGTTATTGTCCCAACTGTAAAGGACTAAGTACAATACCGCTGTGCGTCTGTTTATCACTACTCTTATTGTTTTTCTTCTCCCCGTCACTACTTTCACTGTTCTCATTTCTTTCTATAACCACACTCAAACAAGTTTCGATATTGTCGTTATGGACATTAGCTGCCTCCCTAGTTTTTGTCAGCTTGGAACTAGGTTGTTCTGCCTCTATTACCGTAATACTATCACTATCGTTACTCGAAACACTCTGTATATCGTAAGTTAAGTCTAAAGCCTGCAGCTCGATTATGGACTCGTCGCGAGATAATTTGTTCACCTCTTCACTGAAACTGCTCGGTAACTGGATCTCGGGAATAGACATCTTGGCTGGCATTTGGTGAAGTTCCTTGAACTCCGACGTGCTGGTACTTGGCAGAGAGTGATTCGGCGGTACTATCGACACCTTTTTCTTGCTCTTATTCAAAAGGGTCGTCTTATCGACGTGAACGAATTCCGAATCGTGCGTATCGCGAAATTTCGGTGCAAGAGGATATCTACTCGAGTTGTGAGGACAGGAGTTGCTTTTCAACCGTGTCTTTTTCCGTTTTCTGAAACATGTCGAAGGTACCGCGCACAGCAAAACACGTATTAGGCAACACAATAGGCCGCATGCTATGAGGGTAGGTCCTATTAGTCTAAGTTCAAGAGTTTTGAAACCTTTTTCCCCTGTCCCTACGAAGAAGATTACACTGCCTATGGCTGTCGTTCCCAGGCCTACGTAGAGGAGGGCGTTGGCAGCTGCGCTCTGGTGATACACGGCGAAGAAATCTTCATCATCTGAACCTCCTCCATAGCTGGAATCGTGGATCTGAAAAATAATGGAAGTACATAAAGGTGTTTATTGATTATTGTTATCATACTACAATTTTAGGTCCTCACAGTGTGTTTTGGCATGTATATATTTAAGGAAAATTAATTTAAGTTTCGGCAACACCGCTCTCGGTTTTGATAGAATAAATCTACTTAGTTGAGAAATAAGATACGCGCTGGTGATTCTATTGTATAGTATAGACTAATGTGTGCATTGTTCTTTTGTTCAAATAAGTTTTTTTCAACACTGCTTCTCCTAAAACTCCTTGATCCCTCCCTACTTTGCCATAATAGTTTCCCTGAAGCAGTTTGGATCCAACAGCAAAAAACGAGAAAGGGTTGAGTCTCAATCCTGGGTTTATTTAACCTCACTGAGTTATTATTTGATGTATTCTGTGTTTTGAGTTTATCAAATCCATTACAGAACATAACACAGTGAACCAAAACATTTTATTCGACTAGTTAGGTTCATGATTGCTTTGGAGAAAGTGTATAGAACCAAAAAACGAACATTTATGAAAAAATTCATCAATACAGTTCATTGTATGATTTTTACTATAAAGGGTTTTATAAAAATCGCGATAAACCCCCTTTGCTATTTAAATTTTTCGAGGGGGTGCTTATAATTCAGAAGGGGTGCTGTAGGGGATAATATTTTTATACTGTAAATTGTCAATTTAAGAATAAAAATCGACCTGTTTCAGGTTTTTTTTCACATAGTACATAATAACGCTAAAAATGAATTTATTCCATACATATGGACCGCATTGTATAACCTACATGTATGCCTACTTTCTAATGAATGAATATGAATGAATTTAATTTCCAAAAGTACCGTAACTATGTGATCATTCATTTGTAATAAAAATTGTTTATACATACTCTACAACAGGTTGAGGTTTGAACTCTTCTAGAAATGGAGGGGCTTGAGTTCATGTCCCTCTGTGATTAAATGAGTGGCATATGTGAAGTTTATTTTTCGTTAACTAGTTTACTGATCCAATAATTTATCTGAAAAAAGAATGGTTGGGTAACAGGATCAATGTTTTCTTGAAAAAAAAAACATTTTTCTTGCGCCGACGTTTCGAATTTAATTCAATTTTTCTTCAGGGCTCTGTTACAATGAATTTTCGTAAACATATCTTCCACAAAACTTGTACAATTTTTATCGTTCCAATTTCACAAGAAATGATGAGTTCTCAGTTAAATTACTCACCGAAAAGTAGTTTTTTCGTGTTGATATTATTACTATTTTAAAAATCATCAGACATAAATAAAAAACATTGCAACAACCAAATTTCCGAGACAACACCAACACAAAACGACAAAAAACAAACGAATAGCTTTATCTGTGATTCTGATAAGGTGGTGTCTGTTTTTTAATCAATGGCAAAAAGAAAAAGAATAAAAAAAAGGTTAATTATTCAGGTATTTCAATTATCAAATTGAAATATGCAGTATTGAGGCGATCGACATCTCTTCCACTGTTAACACTATCGCATTTGAGGATATGTATCATTTCGCTCAAAAGTCTTTTAGATAAATATGGTTGAACATCTAGAATAGTTGGATGATCAAAATTAAAAATGTGTTCAATTCTTTTCATGATCAACGAGAGATGTGGGGTTTTTTATTTTTAGTTTCTCAGTATCTCTCATGTGTTCTGAAACTCGTGTTTTAAGATACCGTCCTGTTTGACCAACATGGCATTTGTGACATCTTCCACAGTTCAATTTGTACACTATATTGAATTGTATTTTTTCTTGTGGTGTTTTCATTTGAAAAGGCCACTTTAAATTGTTCGGTACTGAGTAACATTCCAAGTTTATCAGATACATTTTCTCCAAATGATATTTTGTGATATTTGGGTTTCACCCCTGTATTTTGTGAGGAGAAACTTCTGTCTCTAATTATTTTTCTAATAAGAACTCTAGGAAAATTATTTTTTACTAGGTAATTTTCAATTAAATGAATTGAATTAATTGTTATGGAATTCAGAATTGGAAATGGCAATTGCTCTTGATTTCAAATTCTTTACAATGTTGATTTNGGAAAAAATAACAAGTAACTCATATAAAAATATAAATCAAATTATTACTTTCAAAGCGGCTATGATATTCAAAAATTGTGTAATAACAATTTTTGTTCACTTTGAAAAGTCCTAAAAAAGTTTCAAACAAACTCAGCAGTACAGGAAATGGATAGAAAAGAGATAATTAGTTACGAAGGAAGCGTTTTTGTTGATTTCGAAGAGTTTTATGAAACGTCTTTTCTCATAAAGTCAGGAACTATTCCGGAAAAATGTGAAAATCGTGAAATCGAAGACATCATACCTCTGATAGTGAAATCTTGATACCAACGAAAAAAACATTTTTAGAATGATGTTGATGGAACCAGAAGTAATATCCTCTTCACAATATTTCATTAATAGTTTCAGAATTTTCACCAATTCATCCCCATCATTAAAAAAAGTTTTGTTAAATATATCGTTGAAGAATTTAACTTCGGAGTTGGTTTCTTATCATAATAAAGGGTAAATGAAGTTTGTTGGGCATTTTTTAATACAATAAGCAGAAAATTCATCAAAGCAGTTTCAGGTGTATAAGTAATCTTTTAAAAACATTAAAATCTTTTGAGGAGGTTAACGGGGAAAGATATATGTTCAAAATAACAAATAATATTCACCTTAAAATCACCCACTATATTTGTATAAGTAATTATGTGAATAGTCGTCAAAATTCAGTATTGAGAATTCATGAACTGTAAAGAATAGAAAATTGGTATAGTTGATAAGTTTGAAAGGGTTTTACGGTTATGTTTAGAGCAAAAATAATTTCAGCTCACTGTTTCGTCTTGAATATGTAGAATAGGAAATATTTTGTGACAACATTGAATTTCAAGAATATCTTCAACATTTTGAGCAATTTTTTTGCATTCAATTTTGATTACGCTCATCGTCCTCCAGTAAAATGATTAATTCTCTTTTAATTTCTTGAGAAATTCATTGTTAATTCACCATAAAATGTTGAATGAATTCGAGTTATCTGGTGTGAATAATTCATTATTGATTTCATGGTGGGATACTTGATGAAAATCTACTATAACCTATTCAAATAACACTTTATTGTGAGATTTTTCACCCAATAGTTTTCAAAACCGTGACACGTATTTACCATACAAACAGTTCAGTGAAAATCTCACCCTGAGGTATTGTTTGAATACGTATATTTTCATGATTGGTGTCTTTTTTAGCTTTAAAATTCAGAGAATTGTATGACCAACTTTTCTTTCAATATATGATGATACCATTATATTCATCAATTGAACTATATCGAATTTCCTTAAAAAAATATCAATTATTCTGTGGTGACGGAGAAATAGCAAGCAAGATTGTGAAAGGTTTAAAACCTCGAAAACATGAAAGAACAATAATTCCTTAATTGAAATGTATTTCAAAGATTATTTCATTACTAGATTTTCACTGAAATATTGATTTTGATACATAATCCGCAAACTTGCTGAAGCCACGACATCGAAATCATAAAACTCATTATCAGATAAAAATCCAATATAAGCGAGGTTGTACAGATATCGGCATCTTCCCTGAACTTGAGGCAAACTCGTTATCTACGTTAATGACATTTTTCATAGAGTTCATACACCCATATTTAACGACATAGATCAAATTGATGTCGTTTATTATTGAAATCTCCATGTTGGTTACTGAAATGTAATCATAACGCTTCGGGGACGTGTTTGAGTTAGAATAAGTTTATGTTTTTCATTTGAGATTCATTAAACACAGCTCCTTCCTTCCTGAATTCTCATTCTGTTTTCTTTGTAGCTTTCCTCAACTTCTTTTTACTCGGAAGGTGGTCATTTAAAAGTATTGTATTATAAATTTCTGAACTTTGCATCGTTCGTTTTGCCTACTTCTTCTCATTCCTAATTTTCATTCGACAATGTTGGAAATTACATTCCAAAAAAAATCTTTTTAAAATCTGTCGCACCCCTACGAACAACAACCCTCAGAAGTCGAGACTTGTGCGAGCTAAGGATTAACGAGGCCTTACCTTTTGACTTGTGATTTCTAACACGGGTTGGACGATAGCAAGTGGAAATCGATCGATCAGACTAGGGCTTGAACCACCGACCAACACGGCAGTCAATTCGAGTGAGTGAAGAAAGCACCTGCGTCGAACAGCCTGGCTACCGACCGGCTAATGAATTATCGACGAAATATCAGGTAAAAGTATTTTTCAGACTATTCTACCTGTCCCCCTACAAAAAATGATTTTTTTCTGTTAAAAAATGCTCGAGTGCAACCTCCATTTGAAAGTGACAAGAAGCCTCTGGCCAACTATTTGTAGACAAGATATTTCACTGTTCGTGATATCAAGAACCGAATATTTGAAATACAAGAGGAACATCACTACGGACTGAAAAGAAAGATTTCCAGAAGATGTCAATTTGAAAGTAACAAGAAAACTCTTTCAATTATTAGTAAACAAGATATTTCACTGTTAGTGATATCGAGAATCAAATATTTGGAATAGAAGACGAAAAAAAAGATTAGCAGGAGATGCCAATTTGAAAGTGACAAGAAGACCCTTCCAACTATTTGTAGACAAGATATTTCACTGTAAGTGATATCAAGAATCGAATATCTGGAATAGAAGACGAGCATCAACTACGGTTTTCTGAAAGAAAGATTAGCAGGAGATGCCAATTTGAAAGTGACGAGAAAACTCTTTCAACTATTTGTAAACAAGATATTTCACTGTTAGTGATATCAAGAATGAAATATTTGAAATAGAAGACGAACATTATTCCGGTTTCCGAAAAGAAAAATTAGCAGGAGATGTCAATTTGAAAGTGACATGGAAACTCTTTCAGCTATTTGTAAACAAGATATTTCATTGTTAGTAATATCAGGAATCAAACATTTGAAATACAAGATGGACATCACTATGGTTTCCGAAAAGTAAGATTAGCAGGAGATGTCAAATTAAAAGTGACAAGAAAACTGTTTCAACTACTTGTAAACAAGATATTTCACTGTTAGTGATATCAAGAATCGAATATTTGGAATAGAAGACGAAAAGAAAGATTAGCAGGAGATGCCAATTTGAAAGTGACAAGAAGACTCTTCTAACTATTTGTAGACAAGATATTTCACTGTAAGTGATATCAAGAATCTAATATTTGGAATAGAAGACGAACATCACTACGGTTTTCTAAAAGAAATATTAGCAGGAGACGCCAGTTTGGAAGTGACAAGAAAACTCTTTCAACTATTTGTAAACAAGATATTTCACTGTTAGTGATATCAAGAATGAATTATTTGGAATAGAAGACAAACACCATCACGTTTTCCGAAAAAAAAGATTAGCAGGAGACACCTCGTTTATATGCCTCTGCTTTGGCCATCTTCTAAAGACGTAACTTTGATTGGTGTAATGCGCTTCGAGAACAATATTGCATTTCTGGTGATTGGGAAAAGTTAAAGTGTTACGATATCACAGATGTATCTCGCTACTTATATGGAGTTTTTACCTTAAACAATCTGTAAAAATAACATTGAAGTCAATATGGATCGGTGAGGATCACCGATCACCGAATCACCGATTTACAGTGTGTAAAAGCCAAATGGAATAAATTCATTATTTCGATTACGGTACATATTTCAACAAAATCCCGAAACACGTCAAATTTATATTATAATTTGACATACTCTAACGGAAAAATGCTACGCCTACCTTCAACTACCGTTGAATGGCATACTACACCCAATTTTTTGAATGATAAGTATAGGCTTGTGATATATCGTGTGAAAAGTCTCTTTATTCTCTATTCAAAAATGTTATCGCTTTCAAGTTTATTACAACAATTAAGATAAAATAAATTAAAATCATGTGGTTACCGAAATTCGATAAAATACACTCAGAACTTATTGCAAATATACTCAAAACTTATTTTATGTTCAAGTATTGTGGTTAGTTTAAAACACCTAGTCAACTTGTTTTGTATGTTACAACATTAGTTGTCAGTATTTCAATTTAAGGTTACAGTTCGTTAACTTTAAGTCTGACAAATGGTTAGATTAACGGAGATGCATAAAATAACAGTTTTACAAATGATTGGTTGAAAAGATAAAACCCGAACACAACAGGAAGTAGCTCGCCTATTTCATGAGCAATTTCCTGATTTACCGCTCATATCTCAAGGAACAATAGGAAAAATAGAAACGCAGTTTCACGAGCTTGGTCATGTGGAGCAGATAAAAAAAGCATTCGAAGGGGGTTGAAGGTAGGGGTGGCATATTTACGTTGAAGAATGTCAAATTATAATTTACATTTGAAATGCAACCGAAATAATGAATTTATTCCATTTGGCTTTTACACAATGTATATTCTTTGTTAATATATAAAATTCATCAGCTGTGTCACTAGCAACTGATNCACTGTATATTCTTTGTTAATATATAAAATTCATCAGCTGTGTCACTAGTAACTGATTCAGTTTATCAATAGGCAAATTTTTTTAAAGCTGAAAAGCCATAGGCAAAAAACAGAAAATTTCCAAAATGCTAATCTTTTTTTCGACACAGTAGCTTTTTCAACAGTGATTTGAATACTACAAGTTGCTTCTTACGCTAATATCTGTATACCACATGTAACTACAATTGGAACCACACTGCTAGTGAATGACCAGCTACCGAGTGAAAATAGCTTGGAGAAAGGCAAAGAAAACAGATTGAGAACTCAGGAAAGAAAAATATATGTCTAATGAATCTCAAATAAAAAGTGGTATCAGCATAAACTTATTCTAATTTGAACACGTCCTGAAAGCGTTATGATTACGTTTCAGTAACCAACATGCAGATGTCAAGAATAAACGACATCAATTTAAAGTGTGTCGTTAAATGTAGTTTTGTGAAGGCCATGAAAAATGTCATTGAGGTAGATAACAAGTTAGCCTCATTTTCAGGAGAAATACCGATATCTGACAACCTCGTTCATGTTGGATTTTTATCTGATAATGGTGTTCATGACTTTGACGTCCTTGCTTCAGCAGTGACAGGAAATTATGAACTGATTCGAAATTATTAGCTGAATTGCTCCATTAAGCTCTTGAAACGGGATGAAAAGTTTGCGGATTATGTGTCAAAGTCAATATTTCAGTGAAACTCAAGTAATGAAATAATCTTTGAAATACTTTTCAAGTTTGGAATTGATGTTCTTTAGTGTTTTGTAGGTTTCAAACCTTTCACGATCTGATTAATGCATGAATATAGATCAATAGAAAATCAATTCAATTTACTCAGACAAGTCACTGAACATTTATTTTATTCATTATTTTACTCATTCATCGTTTGAAGAAATGTATATCTGATCAAAATTGATATAATTTTTCTTGTTACTATTTATGAGCAATTATGAAAAAAAAATTGAAGGGATTTTTTTTTTTTGGAAAAGTAACCCTTTTTGCCTTCTGTTTCGCCTTCATTAGAAAATAATTGATAATTTCTTGAAGGAAATTTTATAAAGCACACTTGCTGAATATAATGGTATCATCATATAAACGTAATAAAAGAAAATGTATCCAAGACAAGCACTTTCATCACACCAGAAATGTAATACTGTTCTCGTTTCAGATTTTTCTACGCCAGAGTTTACAGCCTTACCTTTTACTTACGTAAAGGAAAGGTATGTAAGAGAAGGTAACTGTTGTAACTAACTTCAATCAAATTTCAATAAAATTGTTATGTTCCTTTATGAGAATAGATCATTATTATAAACTTTCCTGAATAAATTTCACTTCATGTATTTCATTTCACCTTACTTTAATTCCTTCATAATTATGTTTTTTGAATAAGGTCTATATCAGTACCAACAAAAAGATAGACTATAAAAGATATTTGAAGTAATGAAAACTACTTTATGACATGGAAAACTTGCCTACTGTTTATTGAGGAATAAAAAAATTATTCCAAATAAGTCTGAATTGGAACAGATATTTAACTACACTATCAGTGATAATGTAGTTAAATATCAGTTAAATAATCATATTTAAAATGTTGAATATCATGAGTAAAAAAAACAATTATTTATTAATCAATAAGAAAATGCCAATTATGAAAGATATTCAAAGATATTACCGTCATCCTCTGTAAATGGCAGGACCGTAGTTGAAAAAATAGTGTAAAGTACTAAATAAATGCTGATAAATTTTACTAAGGTATTTAGGAACTATGAAAGTTGAAATGTTCGAAACAATTAGCTGTGCATTAAAAATTTTGAATTTGAAGATGATATATAAGCAACGGGAGTCCAAAAAATTAAAATCACCTTCTTCTCAAAGATAACTGAGTCTCTATTTCACGATATTTCTCAAATATTCAGGGAATTATATCTATATGATGTATACATAAATGATATCCTTCCTTCTTTTTTTGTCTTTGCGGACGGAAGTTGGAAAAAACTGTTTAATTCTGAAAAGGATGCAGCTATCAACTTTGGCTTCTGGTATGGAATATGTTTTGATGTTGAATCACATATTACAAAAGTTTCGCCTTAAAAAAAGACTGGTAAAAAGTTGTACCGCCAAGTAAAGTTTTAAACTTCAAATTCTCGAAATCAAACAACAACAACGACGATGTATAAAAAAAATCAACTTCTTCTTCGCATTTCAAAGAAAGAGGATATGATGAATAGAAAGTATCACAGTATATCTTGAATTTCGTTCAACTTGAATTGAAGTCGGGAATAGCTATTTGAATTCTATGTTTGTAAATTGAAGAATTTGCAGTTTTCCTCTCAGAGTTATATGAATTCCTCAACTTCAATGTCCCGAGAAAACAAGAAGGTATCGCATATAAAGTTATATAAGAATATATTACCCTGTTTCTTTTCATCCATCGGTGATGAGCTTCTGTCTGCTTGATGCGGTGTTGCCGCGCTTCCTCGGAGAGTGAACAGCGCCTTCCTCGTTCCCTTTCTTGCCATGCTGCTCGACCTTGAGAGCACTATGAAAAGAAAAATTGAGTTACTGGTTGGTAGAAAAAGCATAACTGCTGAAATTACCAGTAGTTACATTATTTCAATCTAAATGAGATGAAAATTGTTGATTAAATAGTATAGTCGAAGTAACTGGTATAGTGCATAATTAAGCTGTCCGCGAGCTCAACCAATACAGAGAAATAAAGCCGCTGCCAACTAGTCCACGTGGACTGTAGACTTGGCGGTTCGTATTGGATGATTTTTACTAACCGAATTTTATGATTGGCTGAAGAGTCATAAAATCAATTTTGAAGTCATGTTACGACAAGGAATAGAAATCAGGTAATGCGGGGATGGTTATCGCCGTCGTGTCATCAATGTTCAGTTCAGGAACTGAACACGATTTGAGTGTAGAAATTCGATATTGGTGCATTTATAATTACTTAAAATTCTTGTCATCTGTTTATAATGTGCCGTCCTTGGACATGTAATAATAGTAATAACGAAGGTGATAACAACGCAGATTTTTTTCTGTATACTGATTCCAATAGCGATGGTGAACAATGCAAAAAAAGACACCAGTGAATAAGTTTCGGATGCATTTCAATATTGAAACACAGAGAGTATGTTTCAATGTATATAAGAATCTATATCTGAAGTTTGGTTTCGAGGGAAACAAGCTATAATAAGCAACGTCAGATTTGACCAAAATTCCTTTCTCAACTGTACGTAAAATAGTCAAAAACAAACCTTATGAACACAAGACACGATGTGATACGGGATTACCAAAACCTTTAGATGTTCATCTAATAAAATCATTGAAAAAACAATATACGACTGTTGCAAAAGCAATGAGATACCTACAATTGAAATCATAACAAAGAAATTGAATACTTCCGGCCATAACGTGAGCTGCTGTGACAAAACTCTTCAAAATTGGATGAAGAAACTAGGATTGAGATTTAAAATAATAAACAAACGTCAAGCAGGTATGGAAAGCACAAGAATAGTGGAATTGCGTAACAAATTCTTAGAAAAAATAACTATATATATAGACAAGAACAACGGCAAATTTTCTATTTGGACGAAACTTAGTATGATACTCACGACATAGTTACGAAAGGGTGGACTGATGGTTCGAGAATGTAACGAGAGGACTTTTTCTTCCAGTTTGTGTCTGAAAGTTACTTCTTTGCATGATCCACACATTTTCATATACAGTTAATTTTTGAAATTGATTACTTCTTTCCTTTCTTTGGAAGATTCATACATTGTTTGTACCAGTTGTTGCCCCTGTACGAATGACAACTCTCAAGTGATGACAAGTCGAAAATGACAAGTCGAAACTTGTTGCAGTTAAGGATTAAAGAGGTGTACCATTTTAAAGCCTAAATTCCTATATTAGTTGAAAACAATGCTATTGAAATAGGTGAAATATCGAACATATGTTACATTTAATTTGAGAATTAGTCGTTTTGTTAGAAAGAGGGAAATGTCAAATTGTATGATGAATCATAACCTCAAACATTCCATTTCGTTAGAAAATATAAGTTGATTTCGACATGATTTTCATTTCATATGATTTCATTATGTTTTATATTATTTTTCAGTACCGGCATACTGTATAAATGAGAATGAATGCATACATGTACACCTTAATCACAAAACCTCTCAAACCTGTTTGGCCATTTATATCGATCTACGAGTATTAGCAAAAAATAACGTATAATTTGAATTTACATAACTATTATTTTGCTATAACATATTTCGCTTGCATTTGGTATCAAACCGGCTAACGACAAAAATTCGTGACTGAATAGCTGACAATGAATAATGTAGTTGGCTGGACGGTAATACAATGGCTTCCTAGAAAGAAACATTTAAAGCTTTCTATTCTGGTCAGTTATTCAACAAAATACAGGATGCGTCACTAATAAAGTCAAAAGTTCACTCAGTACCTACCCTGATTTTCATATTCTAAAATTGTAAGAGGGTATCTCCTTTCTTTTTGGAATTTTAGGAAGAAGAAAGGCTGTGTCTGATTCAGAAGTGAACTTCTATGCCAACAAAGAAAGAGCAAGAACTCCCTGTACTTTGATGTGATGTTATTCAGAAACGCCAATTGCTACCTCACTTTCTTCAGGTGTTTTTCCATGGGACCAAATCAAATTCGAGAGAAATATCCCTCAGACGAGATTGTAAGAGATGAGACATTTCAATGATCACTTGGTCCAAGTTTTCGAAAAGTTTGATTACGGGATGATTTTGCTAGTATATTCGAATTCATCTTGACAATTTGTTGAAATGATGAAAATCAAAGTCTAAAATCAAATATGCTAATGGCAGGAAATTTCATAAAAAGTTTTCAGAAAAGGTAAACCTGACGTAGCCAGTGAGATGAGCACTCATCGTTGACAACAAACAAGCTGAAAATTGAAGTGAAATAGTTCCTATTTTCTAAACTATAATGTTGTGCAGCCGCCAAGAACTAGCTCTGAGGAAGATTGTTGATTCGAAACTTCACAAATTGAGTGAGCTTACTTGGAGACTGGCTTTTAATCAAATTATCTAAAAGAACAATTCGTTCAGGCCAGTCTCAAATTACCTACACTGTAGGTTATTAGACTGAAACCTAACAGTCCCCTGGCTAATACCACGAAGGGCGTTGTTTTATATCCGACAGGTGTCAGAGCAGGATTCTTCACAGAAGTTATTCCTGCATATGTTGTTGGCGATACAACGGCTGCAATCAATTTTCCGTTATTGAAATACACTTGCAGACTTCAGAGTATCATTCCTCGAATTAGGCGGAAGCGAACGATAAACAACAAGTTTGTCATCATCCCATCTGCCTGTGAACGAGGTAACCAGCCGCATATCCGAAATTTGCCCAATTCCTCGTATGAGGAATAAAAAATCCACAAATTGAGTGGGCATACGGATATAATCCAACGCCCTCCGTAGTATGCGCCAGGGGAGTAGTTGTTTTCTGATAGGTTTCAGTCCATTAACCTAAAGTGTAGATAATTTGAAACTAGCCTTAACGAATTGTTCTTTCAGATAATTTGATTCAAAACCGTTAGAAGTAAATGATAATGAGCCAGAAATAAAATATTGAAATGCCATTATGCCCTAATTGAGGAACGGAACTAGTTAAAGGCTACTGAAATATTGTCTTCATATTTCAGCCCAATAATTCACACCGAACTGATTATGATGCGTGGAGACATAATCGAAAAATATATTGTTTCTCTCCTCGCCTATGAAACAACAAATATCTATTTTGATAAAATATAATTGAGGGCTTGAAAAAAATCTATATCTGATGTGACATAGGGAAGATTGTTTCGACAGAGCGATTTTCTTCAACTTTCAAACACCTAATCAGGAAATTCAACTAAAAAAACATGCTAGATAAAGAAGTAATTGACCAGCTAAAGAAGTTGAAAAAAACCTTTAAAAAAACCTATAAGAACTAAGAAGTACTTTTGGATTCCTTCTTGGATACTGGGGACAAATTCGGTAATACGTTATCAGAATCTATTACTCAATCTTGCAAACGAGGAGGCTTCATCGAAAAGAAGAGATCAATGTTTTTCATTAACTCTCTATGTGCCCTAACTAGCTATGTGTGAACCAAAATCAACCAAGTCGACAACATATGACTCAAGATTACTGTGAAATTATGCCAGGCAACACACATCAAGAGATGTTTCAAAACAGACCACCTGACATAAAAAAACGAAGAATTGACACAGCAGTCCAGGAANATATTCACAGTTCCTCACCATTTTGTTAATGGTTTTGAGACATTGTTGAAGAGGAGACAAATTGTTTTAAACACGAAATAGATTGTCTCTTCTTGTCAGTCTTACGACAGGTACAATGAAATGAATATTATAGAGAATTTCAGATACTTTCAGTATTCTGAGAATGTTAAAAAAAAATCACTTCCGAGGATTCACGGCGGTCTTTCAATGGTTGCATATTAAATTCTTGTAACTGGTTAGAATACAATATAAATGAAGGCCAGCCATTGTGTTTTCTGAAAAAGAGTGTTCCTAATAATCGTTTCTGGACTTTTTCTATAGAATCAGAATATAAAAAGGTCTTTGGATTTCAAATGACACAACCATATTCCAGCTTAGAACGAACAATGGAGTTGAAAAGTAACAAACAAGTATCGTGAATGAATTCATGGCTAGATCTTAAGACAAAGCTCATTTTTCTATAACATTCAGATACTAAGTATTCAAGACACCAGTAAAAATGATCCCGAGATCTTTCATCTCATTGATTCTCTGTAAATTGGTGTGATTAATGAAATAGTCCTTGATAGTGGGTGACTTCCGTCGTGTGAAACTCATTATTTTGCATTTAGCTTCGTCGAGAGATAGGTCAGATACTGAAAAGTAGGTAGATATATTATTGAGGTCATCTGGAAACATATCAGAATCTTTTTCGCTTTCGATTCTTCTAAAAATCCTGAGATCATCGGCATATAGGAGAAATTGAGAAAGCCTGATATACCGAGAAACGTCATTAACAAATAACACGAGGAAAGGTCCCAAAATCGAGCCCTGCGGAACTCCTGAAGTAGCAGTGAATTCGAACGAAGCAGCGATAGCAGTGAAAGAAATAAAGTGTGTTTTTTGTGAAACCAAATGCTTTTAATGTCAGGATCAAAACCCTGTGGTTAACTCTGTCGAATACCTTGGCCAACGTCTATTTGATAGCCATTTTTTATTCCATCCGTAACAAAGTTACTAAATGCGCATAAATTGGTTATGGTAGATTCATTTCGAATAAAGCCATGCTGTTGGTCGCTTATTATTGAGTCCACGTGATTGTATACTCGATTATATAATACCCGTTCGAATATCTTCGACAAAGCTGGTAAGACTGTTATGGGTCTGTAGTTTCATACATTGTTCTTATTGCCGCTTTTGTGTATGGGGGGACCTTGCCAATTTTGAGAAAGCTTGGAAAACGATTTTTTTTCAGAGAAAGATTGAATATCAATGTCAGTGGTTGCTTTGATAAGTCACAGTAAACCTTGAAAAAGTAGGCTGGAATGCCATCGATTCGAATGGCTGCCTATACATGAAACAAGATTTTTGGAATGAGTATCAGCTGTCAAAAAAACTCATAAATGATGAATTTTGATAACAGTCTTTCAAGAAAAAATGAACGTCATATGTACATAAGAAAAACCTGACATTCGTAGCGGAGGACAACTAACAGAGTGGTCGCACATGTTTTTGTAGGATTAACTCTACTATACAGGCTCCAAAGGTGACAAAAAATACTGTCGTTTCGATAAACTAAGCAAATTTTTCGTTATCTTATTATTTATAACGCAAAACGTTTGATTTTTGTTCTAAAATATGCTGTGTTACGTCACAAAAGATGATATAATCAAGGATTCGAGCAGAAGTTCATGAAGGAATTTTATCTTTCACGCACCATTTGTCTCTAATTCCAACAATTCGTCCTCAACCTTGAGAGCGCTCGCATAGAACAAGGGAGATCGTTCAACAATAAACGCTGAAGAATTTGTGTGTGCACTCTTTTTAATGAAAATTCCTCAGCTATTCATTCCATGGTTCCCTGAATTGATCGCTATAGCGAAGGTCGCGTGACAATTTATATCTGTCGTTTCGAAGAATTTAACAGCAATACTTCAATTTACTGCGTCTCATCCGATATTAAATTGAGTTTGGTGTCGAAGATATCGTGAAAAACGTGGCTGATTTTTCAACTATATCTTTCTCGTTGCGTCTGATTATATCGAAATCCACCACACGGATCAATCGGTGAAACAACTTCAGATTCGAACCAGTGAAACTTACTGAAATATAAATTTTTACGAGAAATAGCTAAACCCTTCACAAATAGAAGAGTTTTTTCAGTATCTCTTTTTATCAGAAGCGATCTCTCCTGTCAACGAAAGGAAATGCTGGAACCCCAAAACTTTGATGTTATGTGGTTTGAAATAATATCACAGAAGATCAGTGAATTCATATGCCGCGATTAATGACCACCAAGCATTACACAATATGGTGGAGAATTCTCTTCATTTGCAAACACCACTGACTTTCTGCAAATCATTCATCCCAGTGCCGAAATTTCTATATTTGGTGACTTCAATATCCATAATATAGAATGGCTCAAATTTTCAAATATCAACGATGAACAAGGTTGCGAAGCTAAGGCTTTTGCAATAAGCAGCGGACTTACTCAGATTATAAATGAGCCAACCAGGATTCCTGACCGTGATGAGGAATACGAGGGGGGACCCAAAAAAAACATCTTTATTTCTCAATATTTTAACACCACATTTTGAACACCTTTGAAGTATTTGCCATTGACCACAACGCACTTCTCCAAATAATTCTTACATTGTTCAAAACAGTTTTTAAATTCACTCATCGGGATGTCCTATAAGCCTTCCAGCGATTTTTGTTTCACATCCTCCACATTGGCAAAACGCTTTCCTTTCATGTTTCTTTTGAGTCTGGGGAACAAAAAGAAGTCACAGGAGGCTACATCCGGTGAGTATGGGGGGTGGATAATCGGTGTCATGGCGTTTTTGGTCAAAAATTGATTCACGGAAAGGGCGTTGTGGGCCGGCTCGTTGTCATGATGGGAGAACCAGTCGCCTGTGCGCCAAATATCTGCATTTTTCTTCCATATACTCTCCCTCAATCATTTGAAAACCTCCAAGTAGAACTTCTTGTTGACAGGTTGACCCGGAGGAACGAACAACTCCTCTGCAATTGAAGAAACAAATGAGCATCGTCTTGATATTTGACTTCACTTGGCGAGCTTTTTTGGGACGAGAAGAGCCAGCTGTCTTCCACTGGCTTGATTGTTGCTTTGTTTCGGGGTTGTATCCATAGCACCACGATTCATCATCAGTAATCACCTTGGAAAAAAATCAGGTTACTCTTCTAGCTGATTTTTAAGCTCAAACATGTCTGAAATCGACGCTCCTTTTGCTCGTCTGTGAGAAAGCGAGGGACGAATTTGGCTGCAACCCTTCTCATGTGCAAATCTTTGGACGAAATTCTTCTGAATTGAACTCAATGAGATTCGCGATATCTAACAGAGTTGATCAATGGTTCGGCGACGGTCTTCACGAACAAGAGGATTGATTTTGTCGACGTTCTCATCAGTTCTTGACGTTGAGGGGCTTCCTAAATGAAGTGGGTCTTCAATAGACATTTCTCCATTTTTAAAACCAATCGTAAAACCATAAGCAGTCTCGAGTATTACAATAGTTTCCGCGACCGAATTATCCAATAGGACACAAAATTTCACAGCCGCGCGTTGTTCTCGACAATCTGCCATTACGTTTTCGCCGAAATGTAAAAAGTTGTTATACTAAAAAAAAATATCACAGGCGAACCGATGCACAAACAGCGACACAACTTCGCACACTGACGCAGGTGGCGTGACACTAACGGATATGTGGTTAAACAAAAGGTTTCCCCACTCTCCCTCCCCACCACAGCGTAATTCCCGTTCTTTTGGGTTTTCCCTCGTATGCCAGTTTTCAGGATTCATACCTAACAACCAATCCAGAAATTCACAGTGACCGTTGTTTCATAGACTATTCAATTGTTTTTGTTGTTCCTTGAAGTATTCTACACTCTAGTTGATATCTGATCTGCCACCCGAATTCTTATTTCTGAATATTTTGATGATCGAAAAGGAAAGTTTAGGCTTCCTGCTAGTTTGAATTTCTATCTCACTGAGATAGAGCCTCTCACGAACATTGCTATTTGATAAACACTATGCATTTTATTCGGAATAGACTAATGTAGGTCAACTGGAATCGCAGAATAAACTGGAAATGAGATATTTGACATGGCGATGAATATGGCGGATACTGAAGTTTTCCCGCATATTTTCCGTCTGAATTGATTCGAAAGAAAGGATTTGAGGGTCCCACTCGTATGCTAGTTTTCAGGATTCATACCTAATAACCAATCCGGAAATTCACAGTGGCCGTTGTTTCATAGACTATTCAATAGTTTTTGTTGCTCCTTACAACTTGTTTTTGAAGTATTCTTCACTCCAGTTGATATCTGATCTGCCACCCAAATTCTTTTTTCTGAATATTTTGATAATCAAAAAGGAAAGTTTAGGCTTCCTGCTAGTTTGAATTTCTATCTCACCGAGATAGAGCCTCTCACGAACATTGCTATATGATAAACACTATGCATGTTATTCGGAATAGACTAATGTAGGTCAACTGGAATCACAGAATAAACCGGAAATGAGATATTCGACATGGCGGTGAATATGGCGGATATTGAAGTTTTCCCGCATATTTCCCGTCTNAAAAAATATCTAACAACAGACTTTTCGTGATATTACAAAATACTGCTAATAACTGGCACTCTTTTGTTAATCCCTGGCACATCCCCGGTGAGCACACTTATAGTAAAAATATAAAATGCGTTGGGAAAAAGAGTTTTTGGCTTTCTTCTATTCCATTTTGATACAAAAAAATGTGGACATCTTCCAAAGAAATGAAGTACATTAAAAATCGTAATTCATGAAATGAATTGTGTGTATTTTCTATACTATCAAATTTGGTACTGAAGAGCCTTGGGGCAAGTGTCTTAAGGCGAAACATCAGTGTATACCAGTGAGGGTGACAGTGTTTCATGTAAGTCAAATTTGTTACCATTCATTTAAAGTAGAACTCATGTGAATGATATCTGATTTTATTCCACAACGAATGTTTGAAATTAAAACTGAGTCGAGAAAAGTATCTTCTATATAATTCAGTGTGCATATAGAAGTATTTGTTTCGAAAAAAATTTTTTCTTTGGTGTAATTCAATGTTTATATGAAAGTAGCTGTTTCAGGAGGACTTCCTTTCAGTTTGTGTCTGAAAGTTACTTCTTTCAATAATCTACACATCCATGTATAGAGTAACTCATTTTCAAATTGATTACTTCCTTCCTTTCTTTGGAAGATTCTCTTATTTTTTTGTTTTGTATCAAGATGGAGTAGTAGAAAGCCGAAAACTTTCTTTCCCAAAAATTAATCACTTCTAAAAATATAACCCCTTCAATTCAGAAAATGCGTATTGTGAAAGTTACTTACCAAAGGTGGAAACCGTGGAAAGGGTAGAATTTCCCTAGTAGCTACGTGACTGGGCAAATCCGAACGTCCTCTTCGGAATTTTTTACGTCGAAGGCGCTGTTTCTCTCGTATGAGTAGGGCGGCTTGCATACCTGCTGCAGCAGCTGTGCTCATACAGTGAGAAAGACTCCAGAATTGTTCATTATGCGTCAAACTTGCACAGACAAAACCTTATTATTTTTAGTGCAATTTGGTCTCAATTTTTGGGCCACCCTTCGAGAGCAATACTTGAGAGAATTTCTCACAGTTACTGGTATTCCGGAGATTGTAGAACATAGCACGCCTCTCTTCCCACTCTGTTCTCCCAAAATTTTATCACCGCTCAAAGAATTTGTAAAGCTATACTCTCTTCTATACTTGATCCTCGAAATTTTTTTGAAAAGCATTTTTTGAATATCGACAGTCCAGGTCGAAGATTTGAGATGAAGATGGAGATGTATATTTATGAAAATAGTATGTACAACATAAGTTTGTAGATAGATATATTTTTGCAGATATAATATATGTAAAGCTGTAGACGACTTTTAAGCGACAATTTCGAAAAATAGTGTAAGGCGAAGCTTTGGTTAATATATTTTGATATGTTTTATCTTCGACTATGGCCCCTTAGTTTCACTCCTTCAGCCTGAACTCCTTGCTTGACCGGATTTTCGAAATTCTCTAAAGATTTATCCTGGATCGAATCTGTTTCGAATCACTTTCATTTTATTCAATAGATAATCACTCTATTATCATTTTCAGGCACATTGTTTTACTGAAAATTTAGGAAGTTGGTCGTATGTTCATGTTCATAGTAGTATNACAGAATGAATTTCCACTTTGAAAACCATTGAGGCGAAATAAAATTCATTAGGAGGAACTGAAACAGCTTAGTTACGAAAATAATATTCTTTTATTTTCCAATTGTTAACTAGGTCTTCTGATACTTATTCTTAGAATTTTTCATTCGGAGACGCCTGGAATTTCGATTCAGTGCAATATATCTAGAATTAACTAACCGTATGAATGTGTGTATGAACTGACATCGTGACAAGAACATATTTGTCTCTTCAGAAATGAATTAGTGATTTGTCGTTAATTTCATCCAAAACGGCACTGATGAAGTGATAAGACAAATGCCTTGTCCCGAAACTCCGAAGTACACCATTAGAATGATAGTGTTTCATGTAACTGATATTTTATATTGATTTTCATTTACATATCACATTATGTAGCATTCCTATGAATGATATCTGTTTCAATTTATTAACGATTGTTTGTAGTATAAACTGGGAGGGAAAAAGTGATTTTTCATCGATAGTTTTTTTTCGGCGCCGGCTCTTCGGGGTCGCCCAGCGTGATCCCGGCAAATGTACATTCTTTGATTCCATCCAATTTCTTTAGGGATTGAGTATGGGTATACCATTTGGTTAGTTCCGCAATTGTCGAAGTCATCAGGCCGTATGTGTAGTGACTGGCTCCTAAAATTCTTAGTCCACCCGCTTGGTACTAGCCCTTAGGTAACACGTTGTCTGTTCAAGGCTTATAGGGCTTGTCTACTATCAGTGCAGATTGTTATGTTTTTGCCAGAAATTGCTTTCCTGGTTAGCGAAACGCGCGTCGAGTGCAAAAATATCAGTTTGGTGTTAGGGTAATTGATCTCTAGAAAAAGTTTTCAACTTTCACACCCAAGGTTCCAATCTCATAGTTTTAATCGATTTTTGTGAAAATCTTAGTGTTTTTGGGTATTTCCATCAATATGGCTTTCTGGAGACCTTTTGAAACAAATGATAACATTACGTGTGAGGAAACTGTGTCAATCGACAGGGATCCGGAATTTGAAAATAAGGACTTACGTGTTCAAGTTCAGCGAGTAATTTTAAATATTCATGAATGCTTGAAGAAGGGAAACTGTCACACTTCACAAAATGTTATTGTGAATAGAATATGCGAGTTAACGAAACTATCTCGTTCGACAGTTCTTCGAGTCATTAAAATAGGGATTATTTTCGTTTTTATCACCCCAAAATTAGTAGAAATTGACTAATTTAGTGTAGGAAACATTCAAAAAATATTTTTTTGTTGTGTTGTGATAATATGCCGACGCCTATGTCGAGGCGGGAATTCCTTTTCTGTGCTGTTCCAATTGGTATTGGAAATACTATACTCAACGTTTTACTATTTAATATCGCCCCGTTTGTGGCTCCACATACAAAAAAGTCGAACGAATACTTTTTGCGCGCGAAAGAAAAAAACACCAGAGAATTCGAGACGGGATCCGCGGAGATTTTGTGAGGAGGTTGAATATATATGGGCTGTATGAATGAACAAAAGTGTTATCGTTTTATACGGATAATTCATTTAAAGTGCTTTATGCAATATTGGTGTTATTTATGGCTATGTCTTGTGTATTATGTTTATGCCCAATATGGTGAAACATTGAATTTGGATCGGTATCTGCTGTACGGTTGTTGGAAAAAGCGTCTTTGATGTGCTAGGAGACTCGACACTCAGAGGTAAAACATTCAATTCGTTTACATATTTTATTACAAAAGCAATAATGATAATCATAATAGTCATAATTAATAATGATAGTAGTAATAGTGATAGTTATGATACTGTTTTTGGGATGTTAATGAGGCCAATATCTCTTTCCTAGTGAAGTGATAGCATATTCTCTATACTTTTTGTACTCTTGCAAAAGCCCTCAATTATATAAGGGAGGAACCAGTTTCAATGTTGTAAGTTGTCTATATCGTTTCAATATGGTAATATATATTTGATAACTCGTAACAATTCATTTTTGTGTTGGGCAGGGGACTTTTGATTAGTTAATTTTAGTGTTTTTTTTTACCAGCAAGGGCTTCAAAAACCACTTGGTGCCCAAATTATTTCATCAAAATTGTAATAAGTGTGTTGAAATCTCTAGTAATCCACGGCCCTACCAGAGCAGGCACATTACCTGCCATACTCAACCCCCCCTCAAATACGGTCCAAAACCTGGAAATTAAGAGACATACTGGTTGGACGTGATAGAAGAAGTTTCCTTTAGGAGATAGAATAAACACTCTTCCCAATCGCGTCAAGAAAAGTATTGCAGTTCTGGTGATTGGAAAAAGTGCTTGTTTTGGATATGCATGTTTGTTTTCCTTTCTTGTTCATTAACCATGTTGGGAGCCAGTGAGTTTTTCATTGATGTGCTGTTGGAATAACTGAAAGCAATTCTTTTCAATATAGATTCATGAGTATGTCACAATTCTAGTCTATGAAAAAAAAATTCTTGTTGAGTATACTCACATTTGGAAAACACTCTCCTTATTCTGGTTTGGAGCTTTCTTTATTAAACATTTCTTAAAAAATATTATGTGTAGATTGTTGGTGAGTTACGTCATTTCCGCTCATATTTATTCTTTTGTTACAGTTTGAAATGTTTTTTTATACCTACTCATTGGGTGAACATCCAATTAAAAGAAATATAATGTTGGATGTTACTTCAACACTCAATTGCCACCCAATAATCTCAGGAGTTAGAAAGGTTCAGGTCAGATAAACAAACATATCAGTTAATCCCCATGTTATTGATTTGTCTGTTTCAACCACATATAAAAGAAAAATCGAAATCACGTCTGAATGAAATAATCAAGGGTACAATAAACTAACGATCAATATAATATGGGTGTGAATAATTGATATACTTGCACAGAGATATTTTCTGTTTTATTCATACAACCCCATTAAAAACTGGAAAATGATAACCCATTGAATCAAAAAACGTCTGTCATTCAACAACTAATTTGAGAATTAAATAGTTTTATAGGAATATTTTGTTAATGCTGCTGACGAATGACTTGATGAAGTTTCGAGATAATATGATGAGTAGTACCATTGCAACGTCTGGCATTGAATGAATCATCAGTCAACAGGAGATGAAGTCTCAGTCATCTCCTGATGTATTTTTGTTATGATCTGGAAAAGTATTTTCTATAGATGAAAGATGATATTCTGTAAAACTCACTCTGAGCACTTCGACCGTTACCTCATCGCCTTTGATAATGTCTACCGCAGTAGTAGACGAAACGTCAGACAAAAACCTGCAGACCACGGCTAAAAAACCCAAAAAATACCTTTGACACAGTTATCCTAGTTCTATATTCTGTAAATCGATCACTCACTTGGGAATTCGGAATATATTGCTGTTCATTTGAAAAATCATTGATAGAGTAATGGACGATTCCACGGATGATAGTGGCGTCGTTTATCAACTTATATGCTTGATTTACCAATATATGTATTTAAAAACATAATAATGTGAGGTGATTGATACCCTAATTAATCACCTCAACAATAATGGATTCTACATATGCATATGCAGATGACATAGCTATCATGCAGACAGGCAAATTTGTGAACACAGTGTGCGGTAGAGCGCAGGATGGGCTCAAATTAATAGAAACATGGTGTAAGGGACACTCACTGTCGATCAATCCCAAGAAGACTGAGATGGTCCTTTTCACCAGGAAAATAAGTTTATCGGGCTTAAAACCTCCCGAAATCTTCAAAAGCAAACTAAACTTCTCTGAAGTTTAGTGAAATACTTTGCTACTACCCTCGACAGGAAGATAACATGGAACTTTCACCTACAGAGTAGAGTAAAACGAGCATATGTGGCTTATGAGCAATGTAGGAGGACAGTGGGACGCGCATGGGGTCTTTCACTACGTGTGGTCACCTGGATCTACATTGCAATAATAAGACCTATGTCAACGTATGGAGCCATTGCATGGGGACCGAAAGTTCAACAAGCAACGGCCATCCAAAAATTATATCAAATACAGCGATTGGCTTCTGTAAACATTACAGGAGCCATGGGAACAACACCAACCCCGGCAATGGAATTAATTACTGGTCTGACCCCTCTAGACCTGTACGTTAAGGAGGTTGCATTAATGACCATGTTACGATTGGGCACGGCTGGTGTAAACCTCGAAGTAGGAATGGGTCAATTGAGGCTGAGTCTATAGCGAGAAACGCTTACTGCGCAACCTCTGCTGCAGGCAACCGGTGATGCAATTGAACCCAGGTTTGTGTTTAATAAACCCTACAAAATACAAATAAAATAGAACACAGAGTCAGGTGCTACAAATGCAATACGCATATAAACAGACGGCTCAAAAACCAAAGAAGGCTCAGGGTGTGGAGTGTACTCCAGATCACTAAGCCTAAGGATTAAGTGGGAAATGGGAAAAAATACCAGCGTGGTTCAAACAAAACTGGCTGGTATTTTAATTGCCACAAAAGAAATAACCAGGAGAGAAATTTCTGCCAAAAACATAACAATCTGCACTGATAGCAGACCTATTAGCCTTGAAAAGACAACGTGTTACCTCAGGGCTAGTACTAGAGTGTCACCAAGATTTATTCAAAGCCTTGGTAGATAATAACATGATCCTGAGGTGAATTGAAGGGCACGACAGGAGTAAAGATTATCGCGTTGCCGAGTCTTTAGCCAAGGAAGCGGCTGGATTAAGAATTTTAGGACCCAGTAGCGTAGGGCGTAGCCGGATGACTTCAACAATTGCGGAACTAGCCAAACGTTACACCCATCTTCAATGCCTAAAGAGATGGGATGAAATCAAAGAATGCAATCTTGCCAGAAACACCCTGGGCGATCCTGGGAAGCTGGCGCCGAAGAAATATCTGGCGATGACCAGAAAAAATTTACGCTTAACAGTAGGATTTCTGACTAGCCACTGTCAACTAAGGAAACACCTCCAC